GTGTGTGTGTGAATGGTGAATGACTGAATGTAGTCTGAAGCGCTTTGAGGTCCTGTGGACATGATAAAGCACTTTAAATACGAGCTGTTTACCATTTAACTGTACTGTGGAATGTAAATACATGTGTCATCCAACGTAAATTTTTTACATATTTGTATGAGAAAAAAATTACTTACTTTAATAATAACTTTATAAAGAAAGCAGTGAGTAATTGCCTTCTGGGTACGTTCCAGGATTCCTACATGATTCCTTCACATCTTTCAGTTGTTTTTGTCGGAGGCAGTCAGAGGGACAATTTTATGTTATAAAACCAACATTTGTAAACTTCCAATACATGCCAGGACTTGTGTCAGGGTTTTTATTATCTCTACCTGCTGACTATTTCACAAGAAAATCTATTCACAAGAAAATATATTTGCAGCTTTGAAAACTGTTCTAGTCTTTTTTTCTTTTTACAAAGTTTCCCACTGAGAATAACAATTTTTTTATTGTATATCAAGAATAGAAAAAGTGAATCTATTTATGTGGAGAACCATATTAAGAGAGTAAATGTTTTTTCAAAGTTGTGTTTCACTTTAACCTGTACTTTTCCAAAGCTGGGAAATATTAAAAGCAACTCCTACACTTTCAAGCATAGATAGGAATCCTGTTGTTCTGTTCCTGTTTTTAACACAATATGTGGTTTGTAGGCTGATAAGCACACAGCTAGCTTGCTGCCAACCTTGCCTTCTGGCAGAGGACTGGGTGTTCTGAGTGTTTGTTTCACACAACACATTCAAACTAAAGCAGCTGACTGGTGCAGCTGGCAGCCTGGTTCCAGACAGAACTGAAGCTGGAACAACACAGATACTGTCGTATGTTTGTAAAACCCTGTGGATTTAAGGGGGTCAGAAGTGATCGCTCCTAGTGACATCTTTGACATTGTACAAAAACTGGTCAAGTCATTTCATCACCAGTACTGTAGATACTATGTTCTAGTTCAGACCGGTGAGAATTTTCTTTTCAAATGCGAAAAATAAAGCAACGTAACACCAAACACGACTTAAGGTTACTGCAGCTCAACACCTCTCCACGCCACTCACCCCTGCAGCTCATCATCAGACGGCGTGTATTTGGCAGTGACATCGGCCAGGTCTCCGAAGATCTGGGCGCTGTAGATGGTGAGGCAAGACAGCAGGATGAGCTCCTGCCAGGTGGAGCTGAGCAGGCAGGTGTAGTCCTCTATGGACAGCTCGCAAAAGAAAGGCAGCTTCTTGATCCAGGAAATCTGCCGGAAGAGCAGTTCATCCGCCAGGCGACACAGCAGGGCGAACAGCTCCACCTGGGTTACCTTGTACCTGGGATGTACCAGGCAGAGCGACAGATGTCACACTGCTGCTGAATGGCTGTAGCGCCCCTCACAGATATCTTCTGGTTTTGCTTTATTCTTAAACTTTGTTTCAATTATCAATTTCATAGACAAAGACACATTCAAAAAGACAGTTTTAAATGGTGATTCTATTTATAACGGAAAAATAAAATTTTGGATTAACTGGTTATCTTTATTAGACATGAAATTTGTTTGATGATCTGAAACATTTTGGTTGTGAGGGCTGGGGGGGAGCAAAACAGAACAAATCTGTGACTCCTTCCAGCACTGAATGTGTTTGTTGTGCAGTCAAAGACTCACCCGTCCTCTATGAGCATTGGGGTGGTGAGGGGGGACAGGTCCTCAGCAGCCACAAGCTGCAGCACCAGAGGGTGGGACTGTGGATAGAGACCGCGAGGCTGAGGGGTCAGCAGGCCTGACTGGGCTGCGTAGCTGAACAGGTGAGGCAGGAGCTGGTAGTGTGTGGACATGGAGGTGTTGATGTACTGGTCCCTGAGCGCTGCTGTGTAGCCGTTCATCTCTATGGATCGACTGGGAGCATGAAAAGAGTCCACAGGTTAACATGTATAGCATCACCTGTTTAAATCAAGGTATCTGCAACTTTCAAATTTAAGATGTTTTAAGACATTTTTAATACCAAATTAAATTAAAGACTGAAAAACTATAAACATACGTTATGCTTGGGGGATCCTGCTGTATTATAATCAACCATACCAAATGTGATATTTCTGGGGTCTCTTTGTGGCCAGCAGCTTTGTGCTTGTCACACTGCATATGGATCTCTGCAGCCTTATCCCTCCATAGTGCCAAGCTAACAACACTTTTCTTGGCAAAGAATGCAGTAGAGAAAACGAACGCTTTCCAGACAACTGGCGATAACTTAGCACTAACCCATGACAGATGCAAAAAAAAAAAAAAAAAAAAAAAAACTATCTGCTTGGAAACAAAAGCTTTATTGTAGCTTTTTAACAGTGGC